AGAAAAAGTGAGTGAAAACCGTATTTTATCTGGAAGATCCTAAGTCGCTTGTTGTTTGGCACGCAAATTGGTCGCTGACCGTGAATACATTAGCTCCGGCTGTTTCTTTTCAATCACCTCGGTTGGTCACAAGTTATGGGAGCAGCACTATTAGAACAAGACGCACATACGTCCAATCTAACCGCCTCAATCTGTGCTCACAAGTGCCGAGGGACAGCGATTGACAACCAGACGATCTGATTCTCGTGGTTGACTTTTTGTGGTAAGTTTAAGGCTACGAAGAACGATGTTTTGATGTTCTTCGGAAATTAACTTTTTACCGTCTCAACCCGAAGCAAGGTTGAATTTCTGATATCGGAACATACTGTAAGACTGTGTTCGGACAACTTGTCCGAAAGCTTAACGGCATGTCAAGTCACATTGAGCGGGGCTGTTTTATTCGTGGAACGGAGTGGGGGTGTTAGCCCTGAGAATCGGTAAAGCAATTTTGTATCTGCGGTTAATGTTTGGACGGGTGAGAGTCCGGGGGTCTAACGTAATGCGTGTACAGACATTTCAAGGTTTCGGTAGCTCTGTAACGGTCTGGAAAGCCATTTAGTTCATCCGTTACCCCACCAGATTCCTGAACTGAGCCGTAGACAGCCGTGCTCGAACACTGAAAGTCTGTAGTAAATACCTGAACTTTGCATCGCACAAGAAAACTGGCCGAACCGCTGCAGCACGCACCCTTCTCTTACTGACAACCGGAGGCTACAACGGAGCCATAGGTGTCCTTTTGCCTACCTGCGTCAGATGTTATATAGCTGTTCAACTGGCAAGATTTGTCCACTTTTTCTTTAACTTCCCTGTTTCGCAGTTTTGAAGTTGAACCAAATGACCCATTTCTGTAGTATCCTCGCTTGGGGATAGAGCTGTTTCTGGAATCATATCCTTTCTAAAGATACAAAGAAAAATAGATATAGGGCTATCTTGACGAATACCGCTTTCAGTGATGAACTTGGGTATAAAATAGCCGTAGGCTGGAACTTGGTTCTGGTTATTAATACGAAGACTTCATCATAGTGGGACAAACTTCTCTGACACCATTAAGAAAAAAATGATCACCGGAGTATATTTTTGATAGACTGAGTCGAGTACTACACTTAGGTCAAGGGAGTTAGCACTTTAGGATCCACGATAGGACTGCTTACGTTCTAGAATTTGACTCAACCTGAAAATATGGTTGATACAACCTCGATCAGGACTCCTAACCAGTCTGGTTTTTACGCGTTCACTATTAACGTAGGGCGATATAATAATCCACGGAGTAGGACACCAGCATTGAGGTTAATCCAACTAACTTCTCGACGGCTTTTACATTTCTTGTAATTTGGTATGATCATTGGCTTACTTACACTAGTCGGTTTGCGCGTGTTCACTTTCCCATACCAGACCCGAGGGTTTCGTAAACTCAGACCTTCTTCCTTAATATTCGATAAGTCAGATGACCAGCTTTTTAAGATAACTTATTTGCCAGAGTATACTGATATTAATAAGCAGATCTAACTCTCCTAAAGCCTCAGTATGGTCTAGGGTTGTTGCTGGTCACCCTTCTTTTGCATATATATATATATATATATATATATATATATATATATATATATATATANTATATATATCTTGGCACACTGACGGCCGCTGTGGTTGTGGTCATAATAAACTTTGTTTTGTTTGCCAGTGCTGCTTTACTGTCCATCATAGGGCGGCCTATCCAGTCATACACCAACAGGCGTTTCCACGCGTAACACGTCTTGAGCCACTCTCTTTGGATTAGTGTGGTAAAAAGCAAGGCTTGCAACACACGATTATCCTCAACCCAAGGGTGGAACACATGTAATTCTGAGTTCGGGGACGCGGTTTTATTTGGTTCCTTCGAACTGATTATTTTTGACTCTTCAACACGATATACGGGAAATCTGTTCTTATAGGTCTGGTCATCTGAATTCATTTTCGCCTCTTCGTTGCAGAAGTTGATGAGGATGGAGATGAAACGTATACGAACGAATTGCCAAATTTGGCGAATAGTCCGACGAAGTGTTGCAATGACCACAATCCACATCGGTCCCAGTTGTTGAACTAGTTACCTTAACAAACGAGTGTTGTTAGCCTCAAGTCAATTCAAAAACCGCTTTATTCATCCTGATGAATGGATTTCTAGTCGGACGAATAAAAAATTGCTAATTCCAACGGACACTACGACACAAAAAGTGAATCCGTCATGTCTAGAATCACCCCAGCATGGATCGGCAAAATAGTTAGCTAAATTTCTGGTATCGGCGATAGATTCAGTTGTTCCGGGTGATGTCAAGGAATGCTTTGATATGAGTAAACATTTGACCCAAGGGATACTCAACAACGACCGATGTTTACAATCGATGTCAAATATCTGTTCTCAAATGTTCATTGAAATGTTTTGGTAGACCATTAGTATCAGTATAGAAATTACAGATCGGGTTGCCTAGCCGAGAACTATCACCACTTCTACTCCTATGCACGTCAAACATTGAACTTTCCCCCTTGGATAAGTAAATCGGCAGATATATGGAGTATCCATGGAATGTCCACTTGGACCGATTCTTGTGGACATTGTGGACACCCGGAAGAAAGGTTTGAAGAACATATCTCACAACTAAATTCATACTGTTGGTGTGTCAATGCCATGTGCATTGCAAACACTATCAAGGATGATGAAGAAAATCTATTCAATCGATTCATCACAATTCACCCCAACATCCATCTGACTCGTCAGGAAGAATGGGACAACCGCATCGGGTTTTTATGTATAACCATTACTCCTCGACCGGACAGGTTGATTGAATTATCTGTCTTCCGAAAGAATATGTAGTCTGGGTAATAGTTGGCATTTAGCGAGCCTAGTGCGGGAAAAAAGTAGTTTCATTTGGTCATCGTTTCATAGATCCCTTGAAGTATGCACAGAAGATTCCCTAGATG